AACCTGTTTCAGCCTTTTCAGAAATGGCTCTCTGCCAAAGGAAGAGGGGAGAAATAGATGCAGGAGAAATTTTAGGTGATGCAAAAACAAAAGATATAAATAAACTTTTACTTTAAAAAGCGCTGTCCTATGAAAGAAGAATCAGTTTCCCTGGCTGTGTCTACTTAGACAGAATAGCAGGAAGAATCTGTCTATCATTCATTTCTAGGGACTCATAAGATTTGGAGCCAGAAGGGACCTTGGAGATGACCTAGTCTAGCAGGTTCTTAACCTGTGATCAGTAAACTTGGATCTTCAAAAAAAATTTTATAACTATTTCAATATAATTGATTTCTTTTGTAATTTTGTGTATTTTTTATTATTATTTATTATTACTTATTTTTAAATGTTTTATTATTTCAATTTATTTTATTTATTATTTATTAATTATTATTTGTTTATTTTGTTTATTATTATTTATGTTTATTTTAAAAATTCTTCTGAGGAGGAAGGAAAAAAAGGAAACAAGCATTTATTAAGTGTCAGGCACTGGGAATAAAAATATAAGCAAAAAGCAATTGTGCGACTCTGGGGAAGTCACTTAACCCCAATTGACTCACCAAAAAAACAAAAAAAGCAAGTCAGTGCCAACGCTTAAAGAGCTTTCATTATAGTGGGGGAACACGACAGGAAAAGGGAAGCTGAAAGGTGGGGGAGGGGGAGAATGAAGGTACCTGGCAGTACCATGAGTGTCACCAGTCTACCAAAGGCTAGGAACCTCTGCTCTGGTGATTTCCAACCCACATATTATACAGATGAGAAAACTGAAGGCCCTTAAGGTAGTTTCCCAAGAAAATAAGTAACAAAACTTGGGTTCTGATCCAGGTGCTCTGACTTGGAATCCTGGACTGCTAATACGTTGTCCTGTTGATCATTCAGCAGACCTTTATGCAGTACCCACCATGCATGGAGCAATGGGCTTGATGAATAATGCTGGGTCCCTGTCTTCATGGAGATGACAGTCTAATAAGGAGAATAAGAAACTGATTCAGAAAATGATAATACAAGTTAAGCTGTGAAGGCAGCTACGTGATGCAGTGAATAGAGTGCTGGAATTAAAGATTAAATGACCTGAGTTAAATTTTTACCACAGATAGTAGCTGTGTGGCTTTAGATTTCTCATCTGTAAAATGTAGGTGATAATATCACCTACCCTATGGGGATTAAATGAAATCATATTTGCAAAGCATTTCACAAACCTTGGGGGTAGTTAGGTGACAGAGTGGATAGAGTGCTGGGCCTGAAGTCAGGGAAGACTCATCTTCCTAAGTTCAAATCTGGCCTCAGACTCTTACTAGCTGTAAGACCCTGGGCAAGTCATTTAATCCTGTATGCCTCAGTTCCTCATCTGTAAGATAAGCTGAGAAAGAAAGGGCCAAACATCCCAGTACCTTTGCCAAAACCCCAACTGGAGTCACAAAGAATCAGACGTGCTCAAAATGACTGAACAACAATCACATCACAGACCTTAAAGTACCCTATAAATGCCAACTATTGTTATCATTGTAAGGGCAAGGGAGGCTTGGAACAGTGGCGCAGTGGGAAAGAACACTAGATTTAGAGTTAGAGACTCGGGTTTGAAACTTAGCGCTGCCATGTCCTAGCTATAGAGCCTGGGGCAGGTCACGGCCCTTCCCTTGGCTTCAGCCTCTTCTGTAGCATGTGAGAGTTGGGCTAGATTCAATTCAATAAGCACTTATTGAATATGCCATGTACTGTGCTGGTAGAAAGAGAGAGAGAGAGAGAGAGAGAGAGAGAGAGAGAGAGAAAGGAGGGAATGAAGGAAGGAAGGAAAGAAAAGAGGAAAGGAGGGAGGGGGAAGGGAGAAAGGAGGAAGGAAGGAAAGAAGGAAGGGAGGGAGGAAGGAGGGAGGAAGGAAAGAAAGAAAACTTGATCCTTCTCTCAAGGAGTTTATATTCTACCATGGGAAAACATCATATACACAGAAGAGTAAAAACAAAATATATACTGAGTAATTTGGGGGCAAGAAGAAGAATCCCTAATAATTAGTGGAATCAAGAATGGAGTTGATAATGCTTGAGTCGAACCTTGTGTGTAATTAGGGCTTCCAAACTGGAGGAAGGGAGGAGGTAAGTATTCCAGGCATGAGGGAGTAGTTGTGCAAAGACACTGAAGGTAGAAGATACCGGGATGCAGTAGCATGTATGAAGACATGCAAGTAAGTTCATTTTGATTTGAAGTTCAGTGTGAGGGAAAGGGATGGGAAACAAATTTGGAAAGACAGGTTGAAGCTGGACCATGCCAAATGGAGTCACCATCTTTATTTTATCCTAGAGGCAAAAGCAGCCACTGGGGCTTCCTTCGCAGGGGATTGATACTGTCAGAATTGGACTTTAGTTTCACGACCATTTAGAGAGGGGATTCGAGGGGAGAGGCTGGTGGCAAAGAGACAAAGTAGGAGGCTTTGGAAGTCGTCTTCCATGTCTGACATTGTGGGATTCTATTTCTGGGCACAGGCACGGGGCTGGTTGGGGCTGCTGGTAGTCAGAAGAGGAAGAGCTCACCATTGGCTGGAAAAATCAGAGAAGGCTTCCTGGAGCAGGCGGCAGCAGAGCTGAAGCTCTTGAAGAAGAATGGGTAAGGGTTAACAGATATAGATGAAGGGCAGGACATCCATCCTTGTATAGAGCTAACCTTCTCTGTGATGTCCTTGCCCCTGGGAGCCATATGAGGACTAGCTTCCTCTATTGACAGAAGAAAATAAAGTCTAGGAACTGGCAGCTGCTTCCACTTAAATTTAAAAAAAGTGACTTGTCTCAAAAGGAGAACAACAAGTGCTTTTGTCTAGAAATACAATGCATAAAGGAGTCCTGGCTGGGCTGCCAGCAATGGGCTCCTTCCATATGGCTCTCCCTAAGCTCTGCTGCGTGGGCAGCTAAGCACTGGAGTTTTTTTTTGGGGGGGGGGTTGGTTGTTTGTTTTTTTTTTTATCATCCTTCTCCTGATGCTTTTGTTTGGCTGGGCTCGGAAGTTTACAAATAGTGGCACCTCAGTCCCCTCCCCCTTTGTGCACGAGGTGCGGGGGCTCCAGCCCTGACAGCTCCCATTTCACTGGCTCCCAACTGTGTAAGTCACAAACAATGGGGTTTTGTTGGTAGACTAGTTTAATTAAGATCCAAAGGGGGAGGGGGAAAAGAGCCCCAGACTGGCAGTCAAGAGGCCTGGGTGGGAGTTTTGGCTCTGCCACTGACCCACTCACTCTGTGACCTTGGGAGTCTTCACAAAATGTTGAGTACCTTAGAAATCTTCAAATCTTCTCATTTTACAGAGAAGGAAACTGAGGCCCGAGTGAAGGGAAGAGACTTGTCCACATCACAGAAAGGATGGCTGAACTAGGATTAGAACTCCAGTCTTTCATCTCCTAATCCAGGGCTCTTTCCACTGCACTACCTTCTCCCTTATTCAGGTATAATTGATCAAGCTTGGCCCTAGAGAAGAATTAAGGAAATGCACCCATCTTCCTTTCTTTGTAGAGCTGGAAGACCATAGATACAGAATGCCAGATACGGTCAATTTGTTCGTTTTGCTAATCTGTCTTTTTCCTCCCCTCTTTCTTTTTTCATCTTTGTCGAAAGGGAAGTCTCTCTGGATAGGGAAAGGAAGAAGGTTATATTCGGGAATGAAGATAATGGAAAAACAGGAGGTATCAAAAAGATAATTTTTTAAAAAAGACAGTACAAACTTTTAACATTGATCCCTAGGATAGGGATATCCCAGTAGCTAGAGTGCTGGGCTTTAAGTCAGGAAGATCTGAGCTCAAATTCAGTCTCAGACACTTTCTAGCTGTGTGACTCTGGGCAAGTCACTTCACCTTTGCCTCAGTTTCCTCAACTGTAAAATGGGGATAATAATAGCACCTATCTCTGAGGGTTGTTGTGAGGATCAAATGAGATAGTATTTGTGAAGCTCTTAGCACAGTGCCTGGCAAATAGCAGGTGCTATGTAATGTTTGTTTCACTCCATCCTACATGATCATGTCATGTCTTCTAACACTGTATCTCTGTGCTTGGCATAAGGTTTTCTCTTCTGGGCTCTCTGGTCCCCAGGCTGCTGCTCTTTGCTACTATCTACTGGACTTACAAGAACACCTATTGACTCTCTGCTCCCGAACATGTTAAGGTCAGAAAGTCTCTCCAGAACATGGACAGCTAAATCGTTTTAGTGTATTGTCACTTAGGTTGTGAGCACCTAGTTGGGCAGCCAAGGAAGTCAGAGCGCCCCAGGTGGAGATTAATTCTGTTCTTTTGTCTATTTCAAGGGCCTATAGCCCCAAATAGCTAATTTAGAGTTAGAAATTTCTTGTAAGTCCTGTTTAATGACTTCACAGAATCATAGATTTAAATCTACAAATGGACCTCAGAGATAATCTAGTCAAACCCGTCTTTATGCAAATGAGGAAGTTAAAGCCCAGAAAAATTAAGTGACTTGCTGGAGATGTTATCTATAGTGATTGGCAGAACCAGAACTCAAATTGATGTCCTTTGATTCCAAATCCAATGCTCGTTCTCTTATACAACACCACCCTTATAGGTAATCTGGGGTACTCTTTTGGGTACTTTGTCAAAAAAAAATAAGCCAGATGGGTTGGATGAAGGTTGGTGCTATGAAACTCTTAATATTACCTGTGATTGACAAGCAAACAAAACTAAATTAGAACAAACATTTACTAAGTGCCTGGCACAGTGCTAAGCACTTTGCCTCATTTGATCCTTACAACAGCCCCAAGAAGTAGGTACTGATGATTCCTATTTAGAAATTGAGGAAACCAAGGCAGACAAGTGTTAAGTGACTTGTCCAAGTCACATAGTTAGTAAACCTCTGTGGCTAGATTTGAACTCCGGACTTCCCAACTCAAGGCCTGGTCCTCTATTCACTACGCCACCTGGAAGAAAAAGAGCTAACCAAAAGAGGCGAAGTCATTGCCTTCCACCTTCTGGGTTCCACACTCATGCCTTTATTATGTATATCTGCCAGTAACACCACCTGCACAGATGGTTTTTGTATTATATTCTAGCTGGGACAAAATCTACAGATGCCCCTTCCATTGTCAACTTCACAGAGACATTTTATTCTATTTTATAAGCGAAGGGGCAGACTTGAATTGAATGTCTCTTCAGAGGCACCATTTCTTGAACACGTAGATTCAATGAATTCATAAATAATATCGATCTGTTCCAAAAGCAATCCCTCCCCTTCTCCCTTTTAAGCTGCAAGAGAAGAAAGATAGTTAGTTAACCAAGGAATCACCCAGTAATATGAGTGCTTCATCAAAACCACCAGGGGGCTTCCCAGTTGGCTGAGAGGAGAATGTAGAATAGACTAATGACCCAGATCCAGAAAGCTCAGGTGCGTATACTTGGGGAGTTAGGAGTAGGGAAAGAAAAATGTCATTCTGAACTGGGAAACTCCAATAATCACGTGGGGCTGTGCCAAGCCTCCAGAAGCTATAATTGAATAGAATACAATAGTGGAAGACCTCTACATAGTCTGAAGCTGAGTAATATTCTCTTTTTTGAAAAATGAGTTTTCAGGGGCAGCTAGGTGACACAGCGGGTAGCGCACCGGCCCTGAAGTCAGGAGAACCTGAGTTCAAATCTGGCCTCAGATATGTAACACTTATTAGCTGTGTGACCCTGGGCAAGTCACTTACCCTCAATTGCCTCACCCCCCCCCAAAAAAGTTTTTATTGAAATCTTCTGTGTCTTACGTCATTGTACCTATCCCCAGTATTTTTCCCCTTTCCTCCTGCCAGAAAGTCATCCCGCATGACAAATAATTTTTTAAAAGAGAAAAAAAATAAAGCAACTAATCAACATATCAAAGAAGTCTGAAAACATGTAATGTGTAATACCTGTAGACCTCCCACCTCCAGGAAGGGGTGGGTGGGACTGTCTCCTCCAGTCTTGTCATTCAGGTCATGCTTTATCTTTATGATTTTGTTGCATTCCCTTTTGATTGTTTTCGGTATGTCATTGTTCATTCCATTTACATTGCTGTGGTTAATGTGTATATTTGCTTACTTGGCTCTGCTTATTTCATTCTACATCACTTCATTTAAATCTTTCCATGCTTTTCTTTATTAATCACATTTGTCATTTTTATAGTGCAGTAATATTCCGTTACATTCATGTCCCAAGATTTGTTTAGGCATTCCTCAAATCAATGGGTATCTACTTTGTTTCCAATTCTTTGCTATCACAAAAGGTGCTCTTATAAATATTTTCTTGTATATGGGGACTTTCTTCTTATCAATAACTTCCTTACAAGTATAAGCCCAATAACAATTTCTGGTTCAAAGGGTATAGACATCTCAAACATGTTATTTGCATAATTTCAAATTGCTTTCCAAAATGGTTATACCATTTCACAGCTCCACTAACAATAAATTAATGTGCCTATCATTCTACAACCCTCCCAGCATTGAGTATGGCCATTTTTTGGTCATTTTTGCCAATTTTCAGGATATGAGGCGAAACCTCAAGGTTACTTTGATTTGCATTTTTTCATATAATTACTGATTTGGAGCATTCTTTTATGTGCCTTGCAATTCTCTTGAAAATGGTTTGTTCCTGTCCTTTGACTACTTATCTATTGGGGAACGGCTATTAGTCATATGCATATTGTTTATATATCTTGGATACCAAACCCTTACCAGAAAGATTTGATACAAAGACTTTTTCCAATTTGACCACTTCCTTTCTTATTCTAGATGCATCAATTTTGTTTGTGCAGAAGCTTTTCAGTTTCATGTAATCAAAGTTATATATTTTATATTTCATAATTGCCTCTATCTCTTGTCTGGTTAGGAATGCATCTCCTACCCATGACTGTGAGAGGCATGTGATATATTTATCTTTCTAATTTTTTTAAGTCTGATATTTAATATTAAGGTCATGTATCCATTTAGAATATATTGTGGAATATGGTCTGAGGTGTCGGTCTAAACCTAATTCCTGCCAGACAGCCTTCCAGTTTTCCCAGCATTTTTAATCAAATAAGAAGTTTTCTTATAGGTAATTTGTGTTTTCTACTTTATCAAACAATGGCTTATTGAATTCCGTTGTTTCTGATTCTCACTTGTCTAACATGTTCTACTGATCTATCTTTCTATTTTCTTTAACCAATACCAGATGGTTTTGATGACTGCTGTTTTATAATACAGTTTGAGGTCTAAAAATGCTATGCCCTCTTCATGTTCACCTCTTTTTGACATTTCCTTCGATATTCTCTTTTACTTTTTCCAAATGAATTTTGTTATTATTTTTAAAGTTATATAAAGCATCCTTTCAGTAATTTGATTGGCACAGCATTCAAAGTGTAAACACATTTTCAAAGTATATCATTTTTATTAATGTAGCAGAGCCTAGCCATGAGCACTGAATATTGGGTAATTTTCTCTATTTGCCCATATAATGACTTTTCCCTGGTGCATCATTTCTAAAGTTGGTTATTCTTTTCCTTTGAAAATAAACCCTAGACCATCCTCCCTTTAATAGAGAGGTAAGGGGCTATGGGTATTGAATGTTGCATGATCCAGCAGACCTAATCACAATATCAGTTGGTTTGACTTAACTTTTTCTTTGTGATCAAGAAGGAAAAGAGAAGGGGCAGCTAGGTGGTGCAGTGGATAGAGCACCGGCCCTGAAATCAGGAGGACCTGAGTTCAAATCCAGCCTCAGACCAAACACTTGACACTTACTAGCTGTGTGACCTTGGGCAAGTCACTTAACCCCCAAACTGCCTAAAAGAAAGAAAGGGGGATGAAAAGCATATCCCGATATAACTATAATGTAAAAACAAAAGGTAATAATAAAGCTTTTTAAAAATAGCACAAATAAACCCTAAACTTTTGCCCTTGTAGTCTGGCAGATATGGAAAAGGGGGGAAGAAGGGAGAGAGGGAGCAGATGTCAGGCTTAGAAGTCCATGGAGGGGCAGCTAGGTGGTGCAGTGGATAGAGCACTGGCCCTGGATTCAGGAGGACCTGAGTTCAAATCTGGATTCAGACACTAACACTCACTAGCTGTGTGACCCTGGGCAAGTCACTTAATCCTATTGCCTAGCGAAGAAGGAGAAGAAGAAGGAGAAGAAGAGGAAGAAGAAGAAGAAGAAGAAGAAGAAGAAGAAGAAGAAGAAGAAGAAGAAGAAGTTCATGGAGGCAGAAGCAGGAGAAGGCAGAGAGTAGTTAGGGATGGGAGAGGGGATCTGGGAGCCATGAAGCCTCAAGGAATAGGAAGCTCAAGAGGCTCAGAGTTTCAAATGGGAAGCTCAGAGATTAGGAGAGGTTTAGGAAACCTCTGAGGTACAAGTCCTGAGGTTGACAGCAAAGATCCCCTGGACCAGCTTAAAAGAAGAACTGGTGCCCAGGAAAACAGGAACCTGCTTCCCAAGATTAAAGTGCAGGGCCACCCTTTTCACACATGGGCACCCAATAGCATTTTTACCTACTTCCGAAACTCACAACAGCTAGGCAAGGCAGAGATTTTTTCATCCTCATTTTACAGGTGAGGAAACCAGTTATTTCCCCAACAACCCACTTTGAATTAGTCTTAGAACCAGGAGGAAAACCAAGGTCTCCTGTTTCTCAAGCCAATGTTCTTTCCCTTGCAATCTGGTGGCTTGCAGCAGCTCACCTGCTGCTACCCAGAGGAACAACTGATTAGAGGAGCATTGTAAACAGCCCAGCCCATAAAGCCCAGGAACAATCATGGGACACCCTGTCATTTGGAAACAGGTGTTCTTGGTTGCCTGGCTCTGAGGGATGAGCAAATTCCTATGACTGCCTAGAAGTCTGGGCTGGTGGGAAAGATGTAGGCAGGGGAGAATGGGATAAAGTGTGTCTGTGACTTTGGAAGCAAATGCTTCTGTCTGAGGCTAAGGGAAACTCTTGTCTATATTGAATTACTGCGAAATGCAAAGAGCTCTGGATTCTGAGACTCAGGTCAGGTTCAAATCCTGCCTTTGACACTAACTAGTGATACAACATTAGGTAAGTCCCTTAATATCTGTGAACCTTGATTTCTTCATCTATAAAATGAGACAAGTAAACTAGATGGCCCCTAAAGTTCCTTCCAGTTCAAGTGTTCTGCATTCTAAGGTCCCTTCTACCTCTGACATTTTTAGCTGTAAGCTATCTTTAAGTTCTTATATTCTATGCTCTAAAGACCCTTCCAGCTCTGATGTTCTATGTTCCAATGTCCCTTCCAGCTCAGATGTCCTACATTTTAAGATCCCTCTCACCTCTGAGTTCTAAAGGTACCTTCCTGTTCTAATGTTTTTCGTTCTATGTACTAGGGACTTGTGTATCTCTGACATGCTGAGTTTTAAGGTTCTTTCTCCTCTGGCACTTAATATTCTCTGCCCTAAGTTTTCTTCCTGCTCTCAGTGTTCTATGTTCTAAGGCTTTTTTCATCTTTCCCAGAGTTCAAAGATCACCCCAATTCAGATGACTCTCAAACCCCTATATAATCTCCCCTGAAGATTTTTGTTCCACATCTCCAACTGCCTCCCAGGCAGTTTCTCCTCAATGTACTCACAGCACCTCAAGTTCAACATGAATGAATTAATTCAACATTAATGAATTAATCATCTCTGCCTCTTACCCCAGTCTTGCCTCTCTTTCCAATTTCCCCCTTTCTATTGAGGACACCACCATCCTCAAATCATTCTGGTTCATCTTTGACTCTTTCTTCTCCCCTACCCTCCATATCACATCAGTTGTCAAACCCTGTTGATTATACCTCCACAATCTCTCTCACATCTGTTTCTTTTCTTTTCTTTTTTTTAAAGATTCATTAATTTATTTATTTTTAGTTTTCAACATTCACTTCCACAAGATTTTGAATTCCAAATTTTCTCCCCATCTTGTCCCTCCCCCAACCTCAAGACAGTGTGCATTCTGAATACCCTTTCCCCTAATCTGCCCTCCCTTCTATCTCCCCCCTCCTTCTCTTATTCCCTTCCTCTTCTGTATTCCTTTAGGGCAGGGTAGATTTCTATACCCCATTGCCTGTATTTCTTATTTCCCAGTTGCATATGAAAACAATTTTTTAACATTTGTTTTAAAACTTTGGGTTCCAAATTTTCTCTTCTCTCCTTCCCCACCCATCTTCATTGAGAAGGCAAGCAACTCGATACAGGTTATATTTGTGTAGTCATACAAAACACTTCCATAGTAGTCATACTGTGGAAAACTAACTATATTTCCC